TGGTGAAGCAGTGGAATGAGTAAACTGATGATCATGAAGCGAATAGGGAAAGAAATGATCTTTTTCAGGTTTGGTTGTGATCTTTGAAGCATACGAAATATAAAGAGTTAAAAAAGTCTGATAGGATACAACATTGAGCAATAATACACTGAAATAACTTTCCAATTCATCTTTTGTCCGTGAAGTTTTCTTATTTTTAAAACAAACCTTGTGCTTGATTGAATTTCAAAAGGATTTTGGAAAACAGAAAACCATCTCAAGTTGACCATCAAATGAATTCAAAAAGGTTGAAAACCCAATCAAGTTTGCTCAATACTCTTCATTTCATTGTTTTTATTGTTATTTACCACAGACGTTGTTGTTCTTTCTCATAACCTATCCGACACCCTCTTTGACAATTTTCTTGATCAGGGTTTTCAATAATTGATCTTAAATCTTTAACATCATATGACCACGATCTCGAACTTTGCTAATTTTTCTTGAATCAATCTTCTTTCCCTTTATGTAATCCTCGGTCCCATCCCAGAAAATCATCAAACGATCGACCCACGCCATTTGTCTATGAAGGGTCCTTCCCGATCCGACAAGACACATGGAAGGAAGCAATTATGATGAAACCATCATGCATACACCCATACAAACCCAAAGGTAAAGGTATGTATCATTCTTTGTTCACGTGTTCAGTATTTTATTGGTGATGTTCCTCTTAAATGGAATACATATCCCACTGGATGATTTTTGTACAAACACCTGACTCAAATTACGGGCTTATTAAACCAAACCCCCTATTCACTTATTCATCATTCCACCTTTACATAGAAATAAATCATATAGAATCCAAATGAAGAAGTGAATTAAATGAATTACACATTCATTGGCTTATATGCACTACATCATGACCTTTACACCTTTACATGACTCTTTCTTTGGTATGTATCAAAGACTTTGAATCCATGTGATCCGATCATCAATTGATAATATAAGTTCACCAAAAAGAATAAACTCTCAGTAGAGAGACGACTTGTACCAGATGATGAAACTATGTAAACCAATGCAAAGTTGATCAAAGGATACGCAAGGATATGTACATTTAATTGCGCCAAGCTATAGAGTAAAGAGTACTGAATTCAAGGTGTGGGTCGTTACTAGATTTGGATTGGATTGGATTGAATTGAATATGGTTGATTTTTTGTTTGAGCGACTTCAATGAAAATGAAATCAATTGGAGTCTTGTCAACGTAAAGTACAAGAAACCTAGATGGGCTGCGTACGTAGTCAGAATCAAGTTATGACTTGGTCACGAGTACAGTATTGCTTTTTTTTTATAAGACAAGGTGGGATTGGGTTGATGATGATGATGATTGTAGTCTGAAGTTGAAGTTTTTTCGATTCGTCTACTTTCAGCTTTCCTTTGATTAATCGAAATCTTTTAGCCGACGATTACGAAAGAAGTAGAAAGGATTACGATTTCTTGAAGATTGTGTATATTTAGAGGTACATAAGACCAACAACTTAATGGGCATTGAGTTTTAGGACTAAAATCAATTTTCGATTGAGTGTAAATCACATCATTTTAGTCGATTTTACATATCATCAACCCCATTTCTCTTTCTCTGTCTCTGTCTTTCTCTGTGTTTCCCATTCCCATTCCCATCCTCTCTCTTCGCTCTCTTCGCTCTCTCCTTCTCTCGGTGTCTGAGTCTGTGTTGTGGTTGGTGAACTTGATCTTGCTACTACTACTCAATCAATCAATCAATCTTCCTTCATTTACCACTACTACTACCATACAAATTGATTGATTGGTTAGTCTTTGAATTAGGTATGAGTCTCAATCCATCAACATTAACGATCACTACTTAAAATCACTTCAACTCTCAATCAGAATTCAAACTTGACTGAACCTTTCGTTAGTTTCAAGATCAGTTTGATGAGATTGAAGGTTTTTAAGTCTCTTTGTGTCCTGGATCCAGTCAAAAGTCAATCGTATTCGCAAATATCTTCAAGAAGGTGATCGTCTATTGGTTTGGTAAGATCGATTTGAAAGTGAACAGCTTGATCTGATTTGTTGAAGTGAATCCACTTCTCAGTTCAAGTGATCATCCTGATTTTGATTTTTTTGAATCTCAGACTGTAAGTTGAAGTTCATCCAAACTGCAATGGGGGCTTTTGATGATTCTAATGGTTTCATTCAAAATCATTCCAGTGGATTCCAGATTCATCAAATCAGACATCAGATTGCTCAACTGTTTGCTGCATCTGCCCACTTATTCATCAACTCTTACAACATACATGATCACAATCACGAAATAAAATTCAATTTTATCACGAATTCAACTCAACTCACTCCAGACTCACCAGACTCTGTCTCTCTCTCTCTCTCTCTCTCTCTTTCCAATCTGACTCTGACTCACTTCTCAACCCACGCACGAACCAACACATACAGACAGGTCCACACACCACACCACACCACACCCTTCACTCTAGTTTAGCTCTCCACTTCTCAATCCGTTCCACACGAGCAATCGCATTCAACCGACCTGAATACCAACTCACTTTCATTCGAACGAACCCTTCATTCACATAGAGAGAGCTTTCATTAACTTTTTTGAATGAAAATCGAATGTTGGAGTATCTCACTTTCTTGAGATCCACCCCTTTGGCTTCTTATCATCATCATCATCATGACACCCAATTCAACGAGAACAAGATATCCTCCTATCAATTCAACCTTCAAGTCATCTCCTCTCACCAGCAATTCAAATCACAACTCACCATTACCTCAATCTTCAATAGTTCAATCTACTTCATCACCTCAATCTTCATTGAACTTTCCATCAAATGCTTCTTCACCAGATCCATCCAGGTCTTATTACGTATCTTCAAACAATCGTCTTCAGTCACTCTATCAGGCTCATCAACAGGTTCCCGATCAACTTCCACCAACCTCTCCTCCAGCTTATGCTCTCGAACTCGCTCGTGCTCAGGATGTTCATCGGATTCCGATGAGTCGAGAATCTAGTTTACCTAGTATCATGAGCATGCCTCATACTCGTCCTGCTAGTCCTGAACCATCCACGTCATCAACTCATCCTCCACATCAACAGCAACCGCAACAGCAATCCCACCATACTCGTAATGTCTCAGGTGCCAGTCTCTCATTTTCTAAACGGCAATATACCCGCACGTCGATTCCTTACAAACCCAACAACACTTACAATAGCAACTCGCCCCATCATCAGCGTTCTCTAAGTCCTGCCTCGCCTCTCATTCAACGTCGCTTACTGGCTGGTGGCGCTGGACATTTACCCTCTAGTCTACGTACCTTTGAAGAGGGTATCCTACATTATGAACGTGTTCGAAGTCCATCACTCAGAGGGCACTCCCGTCGTGGCAGTTTCTCCGCAGATTCGATCGGACCCAAGTCATCTTCACCTGCTCGAGGAGTGAATCGAACACTTCAACAATTGCCCCCATCTCCTCGTTCTCCACTCTACATCTCTCAATCTTCTTATCACAACCACCATCAATCTCCATCAGAGCAACGTGTCGACTCTGGTAATGGTCACAAGCTTGAAGTTTCAACTAGTGAGATGTATGACTTTGATTTGTCAGATGATGTGGGTGAAGAGACTTTAAAACCTATGCAATCACCCTTTCGATCTGGTTCAGTCCATTGTCAAGATGATGATGATGAAGATAGATTCGATCGTGACTCGAGAAATTCCTTTACAGATGATGATGATGATGCAGATTATGAAGATGATGAGGATGGATTCAATTTAGGTTCAGATCCAAAACACTTGACTCGTAGTAATAGGATTTTCAAAGTGGGTGAGAGAGTGGGTGTCGGGACCTTGCATCAAAGTCATAGGGTTAGGGATTTATTCGAACTTGGTCCTGGTAATGGTCGTAGGTTGAGCATGGGCGGTGATGATGCAGGTCAGGGTACAGGTCTCCTCGAGATTGTTAGGCAGATCGGAGTTGGTAGCTAGTAAGTGTCTCCGCATCGTCCCTTCTATCGCCTGTCCCGAAGAAGCTGACCGATTCGTGCTTACGTATCAGTGCTGTGGTTTACCTAGTACGCGAAGTATTATATGATCCCGACCTCACTGATCATAGCGCTTCGGCAGATCACTCTGTTGCCAACGGCACTCCATCTTCTTCCTTACCTGATTGTTTATCACAAACACCAAAAGCTTCCGATGGTTTTGCTACCCTCATGTCGCCAGCTACATCATCCCAGCCACCACGACGAAGGCGAAGACGTAGGGGCGAAACTGATGAAGTCATTTACGGTCGTGACTTTGCATTGAAGTGTCTTTCCAAACGAGATTTGAGTGATGAGCTCTTGTTACTTCAACGAGGAGAAGCAGAATTACATCGTGCCCTTCCATCACACGAGAACATTGTTGCCTTACATCGCGTTGGTACACTCTTTCTGAATTTCATTCTTTTTACCTCTAATCTTCTTCCTATCTTGATGCTCCTCTTAGAATCATAAACTCTAACATATCTCCTCAATATTCATCAATTCCCAAAAGGCTTTGGAAACTCCTAATTGGCTTTTCTTGGTGATTGAGTATTGTCCTGGTCAAGATTTGTGAGTGTTGCGAAATTCGATTTTTTTTGGTCAATCATCTTTTGGCTGACTTTATCTATTTCGATTGTCTTTCATTTAATTTTGTCTTTGATTGTGCAGATTCTACTGGTTGGAGCAGGCAAGAGATAGTCAGGATCTCGACTCTTTAGCATCTCGGACCAACTCTGTTTCTCAACAACTCTGTCCTCCTTCATATACCAACGGAGCCTATACCACACCTCCCACCTCCTTCATTCCGCCGAACAATCCGACCAAGACATCGCCTATTCCCTTTCCTTCACCCTCTTCACCGCCCCTTTCTCCGGATCGGGTTAGCTTCAATCACCCCAATCCTTCACTAGCATTGGCACCCAACACTCCGCCGTCACCGTCACTATTGGCAACTACAGCCGATGACGAAATGCTTTCTCGACGTCGACTTAGATTGATCAGTCGAATGTTTGTACAGATGTGCGACGCGGTCGAAGCTTGTCATCGGGTTGGAGTGTGTCATCGAGATATCAAACCTGAAAACTTTATTGTAGTCGATAGCCGTCGATCCAAATCGAAGCCACTGGTTTCAAATCTGAAACCAATCAGCTTTGCTAACAATCATCAGTTTCAACAAAGGTCTGCTGATGGAATCAAACTTCCATCATCTGTGGTGGTCAAAATCACTGATTGGGGTCTTGGTACGAGTTCGTCTGCATGTGAAGATTTCGATTGTGGCAGTAAACCATATATGGCTTATGGTACGGTTTTTTACCTTTTCACTCTGGCTTCATACTTGGCTCATTGACTTGTTTTTTATCGCATCTATCAGAATGTCGAAACAATCTGAATCCTACATACGATCCAGTTCAAGCCGATGTTTGGTCTCTTGGGATCGTTCTCCTCAACCTGTTATACCATCGCTGTCCTTGGGCTGATCCCACCTTGGCCGACGGTGATTTTGTTCAGTTCAGACGTGCTCCAATCGCATTTCTTCATGATCGGTTTGAGGGAATGACATCAGAAGTCGCTACGTTTTTAGCCACAAGAGTGTTTTGTGAGGCAGGCGGTCGAGGGACTAAGAAAAGAATTTCAGCTGGTCAATTTGGTGAATGGGCAAAGAACCTGTTGAGTCACATGGGTGGTGGAAGTTTACATGCATCAGTATCGACCGCTACGATTGCCATGTCACCATCCTCAGCAAGAGCTTCTTCACATTTCGGATTCGATCATCGAAGTGCGAGTGGCAGTCGAAATGTGAACAGCAAATGTCCTTCTAGACAGTCATCGCAACTTTTTCATTCGATTGTCTTACCGCATTCTGTACCTGAGGATCTATCCCCGCTCGATTCTCTGGACTCTGATCATCATTTTCCGCTTGAATCGACGAAATCCTCGGCGACTCATACTAATCCTTCGACTGTCGAAATTGTGGATCCAAAGGCTGATGCACAGGAAGTACTCTCATCACGAAAGATACCTTCTAATTCTCCCGATTTGTGCCTACAAGGACATCTCATTCAGGAGAAGTTGGAGAAGCTGGAACTCAGTTCATCTCCCCCGGTTACAACTACAACTGCTGACGAAGTCGAATCGGTTGGAAGTGCAGGAGGTAGTAAGATGAGTGATAAGAGGAGAAGGAAACGAGGTGCACGAAAGGGAGGCAAGAGTCAATCTCAAAAGGCGGATGGGATGAGACGAATTGGATCTGGATCTGAACATACACCGATCTCACCTCATGATTCGGATCAGGATGAATTAGATGATTTAGCAGAAGCATCACAATCTTTAGCAAGAGAAATCAGTCAAGCTACTCGATCACCTTTGATTTCATCTAGCTCAACTAAACCAGCAGCTTTACCGGTGAAACGGAAATTGAATTTAGCTGAAAGGATGATGGAAAAGTTTAGAGATGGATCGAACCCTGATTGGGTTGCGTTTGCAGCTCAAGCTAAAGCTAGAGAAAATGCATTGTATGGAATCACACCGGATGGGGATATAGGTGGGGGTCCTATTGGTAATACAGTTAGTGCACCTGCTCAGCTTCAGTTTGATGGTAGTGGTGGTGGTGGTGGTAGTAAAGGAGGTTATGGTACTTCTAGAACACATGGAACTTATTCTGTTCCGAATGCGAGTAATCATCTTCATGGTGCACTGGGTGGACGAGGGGTTCCATTGAGATTAGGATCGTCTAAGGAAGAGAGACCGATGAGTTCTGATTCGTCGGCTGGGGTTTGGACTTCTGCTTCGGTTAGAAGAGGAAGAGTACAACAACAACAACAACAACAACAAGCAGCAGCAGCAGGAACGAATGTGAAGAAACTGACTACTGATCTTCCTAGAGGTATGTATCATTCAAGTACTACAAGAGCGGATAGGAATCATGGGAAAAAGGGTTTGGTTACGATGGATTCGAGTTATAAGAGTTTAGGACATGAAGCTTTGAGTGGGACTAAGAAAATTAATGAAATTAGTCTTGTTGATTCTCATCCTACTGCTACTGCTACGACGACGACGATAGCGAATAATAGAATTCAACCACCTAAGACTAAACTGGCGGCTTTGTTGACTTCTTTTAAGAGGTTTAATTCGACGGTTGCTAACCCTGGAAATCATGGTCATGGAAGTGGGAATGGGGTATAGAGGTATCGTTTTTTGTAGGAGTACTCTATGATCATCAACATTATAAGAAATAGTTGGAGTGGGTTTTTCTTTGTTTGGAAAGGGTGGAATTCTTTTTTTTTTTTGAGAGTTTTGAGAGAGAAAGGATTTGGTTTTTTTTTGATTTCTTTATTGTATATCTTTTTTTTGGATGATTGTTTTTTTTTTTTTTTATGTTGAGCAAGATTGACTTGAGAAAGGAGATTTTGTTTTTGTTTTTCTTCTCTTGTTTTTTTTTTCGTTTCGTTTCCTATTTGATTTTTTTGTATGTTGCAGCACTTTTCTTTTTGGATTTTTCTTTTGATTTTTTTTTTGAGTTTTTTTTCTTTAGAGTGGTGGATAATTGTTTTTCCTTTTCTTTCTTTACTACTTCAATAAAAAGGATTGAATGAAGAATGAAGAAAAAGAAGTCAAAAGAAAAAAAGAAGTCAAAAGAAAAAAGAAGTCAAAAGAAAAAAAAGAAATCTAAAGGTTTTTTACAACAAAGAAAAAGAAGAAATCTATTATCTATAGTACAGTTGTTTTTTTTCTTTTTTGTGGTTTCTTCTTTTTTTGTGTTTCCTTTGATGGTTTTTTCAAGAATACCCCAGCTTAGATCCAAAACAAAAACAATTGATAAAACCCAAATGAAGAAGAAGAAAAAAGAAAAAAAGAAAAGAAAAAAAAAGAAATGAATGTATGAATAGATTAGTTGTAACACATATAAATACAAAAAAATGAAAAAAAATGAAAAAAATTAAGAAAATCAATTGAGAATTTTTGAGAATTTTATTTTATTTTGAAAAAGAAAAAGAAAAAGAAAAAGAAAAAGAAAAAGAAAAAGAAAAAGAAATTGGATTGGATTGGATTGGATTGGTTGAAGTGGTTTACAATCAAGCAAAGAGAAAAGTGAATGAAAAAGAAGTTTAGGGGTGTTCACTTAATCCAATGAAAATCAATGTTTTGTTCAAAAGTGTGATAATGTGTTTGAGATTGATACAACTAAACACAACTCAGCTGAAAAATATTGACTTCTTTGTGTGCCAAAAGTAATCATTTCTCATCATCTGTGATCCACAAGTTCATTCATTAATTTGAGAATACTGTATCTATTGCTTATATTGTCAAGTTTGTTTGATTCAGACTCAGTATCTGGTGTGTTGTTGATATCCTTTTGATTGGTTGTAGGTCTTCTTGAGGTTTTTTTTGGGACTGCCAAAGAATTTGTAGGGTTGATTGTTGCCTAAAAAGATTGTAGAACCTCAAGAGTCTGTGCCGTGGTCATGGATATAGTCAGGAGATACTTGAGGACAGTCACATTTGATTTTGAGAGCTCTGCTGGGCATGTATGGAAAAGCTTGGTTTCAAGGGCTTGATGAAATTCCTTGAAGGAAAACTGGTCATCCACTGGAAGTGAAGTGGATCAGTGGAAGAACAGATGATGATCTTCTTGTTTAAAGATCTGGTCATACCATTATGTAGTCACTATTTCCTCTACTGTCTTTAGAATCCATTTTATTTTGTCCAGCCTGGCACAAGATGAGGTTAGCCCAAAAGAGAATTGCAAGAATTACCAGATGTTTTTTTATTTTGAGAACTTTGTGGGTGTTGTTGATGGAACCCATATTCCCTACATTGTTCTAGAAGATTGTAAACTGGCTCATTGGAACCAAAAGGGTAAAGTCAGTTAACATGTCTTGGCTGGGTGTAGATTCAATAAGATTTTTGATTTTGTTTATGCTGGTTTGGATGGATCACACACCAATGCAGGTGTCCTGTATCAAGCACCTGAAGAACAAGAATTCATTGTTCCACAAGGTACATTAGATTATCTTTTGAAATGAGCACATTGATTGGTTCTATTTGTTTGATTCAGACCTTTTCTATTTTTTCTCAACCCTGGTTACACCAATGTACTGGGGTTTTTTACACCCTATCAATTGGTTAGATATTATCTCAATGGAAGTTGGTACCGGGTATTAACAGACCGGAATAGGTGTAAGACGTAGAACACGCAGGCGCGGAAAGAGGTGTGAGACCTCAAATCCCAGAAGAGGTGCAGTAAAAATGGCATCACAACATCCACCCCAATGGTAGGATTCGAGCCAAGCTTTTTTCAAGGACAGCCAGGGTCACAGGAAACGCTCACGTCTCGTCGGACCAAGCTCTTTCCCCCCAGCGTTGCCATCTTTTTCCTCTCTGCGTCGTTATCATCCAAAAAATCAAAATCAGTATACTACATACACAAAAAACTATTTGTTATACAAGTCTCTATTTCCTAGTATCTTAGTTCAGTTTTCAGAATCTCGTTTTTCAAATCTCTCTAGTCTCCAGCAAGTGTTATTTTGTTATTTTTTGATTTGCTCAATACTATGCAAAATGATTCTGCCTTATCCGTGAACAAAATCTATAAGGCCAATTCGGCTACTTCTAAGTTCGAAAAACTCGATGCCCTGCTTTTCCAGTACGACAAGGCAGGAAGAAGCAACTCCATTAGTATGCGCCGTCTTCGAGATCAATTCGCAACAATCATACCCCCAACCAACGACACATTGGAAAACTTCACCTTTAACTTCTCCGTGTTCGCGAGAGCCGCCATCGAACTGGACTCCAGAGCTAACCGGCCCCTTTGGAAGATGGTGGGAGAAAACCACAAATGGCCTTCTACGGCCAAAGAACTTATGGACGCAGAGCCAGCCGTGTTGCTTACGGGATGCATTTTCAAGCATCCAAACTCGGACGAATTCCGCTATAGTGTATTGGACAGTCTGTTCACCGATATACACAACATCTGCTCAGCAGAGCGACATGCCAATGCGCCAGCCCCTTCCGGCTCCAGAAACAAGGACAGTGGACGACTCGAGGAGCCATGAGCGCTCTTCTCGTCGTGCCAGTCCAAGTCGCAGGAAAAGGGTACCGAGGAGCCCCAGACGCCGTCGACCCGCCAGCCCTAGATCCCCAAGGCGCCGGTTCCCGTCGCACAGCCCACATCGGCGAGGAGGTCGATCTATTAGCCCTTCGCGTCGTTCCCGCCACTCACCAACGCGTTCAAGACGCCCAAACAGGAACACAAGAGAAGACAGGGACCCCTCCTCCAGTCCTACGTCTTGAAGCCCCCGCCGTGAGACTCGCTTTCCGTCTCAAAGAGATAGATATGAGAGCCCAATTGGACAACCGTCTCAGTCGCTGTCCGGGGTGAGAAGAGCCCATTTCGGAAACTCTCCTAATAGAAATCCCCCTCCTCTTCTTGATCGTATCGACTCATCTCTGTTCCACCGCATCAACCCAGCACCTCAAAGCCGCCCGGACAAAGGAAAAAGCCGTTATGTCTCCCCGTCACCAGACCCACCGGCGTCGTCTTCCAATCTGGATACGGCTTTTCAAAAGTTTATCCGATCAATCAACAAACCTGAAAAGAAGCTGGCCTTCCAAACAGACGACAACTCCCTTCGCGACAGCCGGTTCCCACCTGTCGCCAAAGCCATCAGAAAGATCAAGAACGAGTACAAAGAAAACATCAAAAGGTCTGTGGAACTCTTCGACGGCTGCTCCAGCAAACCGGACAGATGGCCGACCTCCCAAATCAAAGACCTGCTATCGTAAAATTATGTGGACCTCGACAAAGTGTATGTCGAAGTCTACGGCAAGCCCACCTTGTCAAAAACAATTAGAATCAACGACTCAAAGGACCTCGAGTTTGACGAAAAGGTCAAGGGAGTGCCCATCGACAACATGGTCCACTGGGTGGACCTCATCACCCTGCTTCGCCAAGCATACCAGGCGGCCTTCCCACCTGCTCGGGAAAACGTGGAGAAATATTTAGACCACCTCCTCAAACAAGCCGGGAAAACGTCCAGAGGTATCCACTGGAAGGACGTTTGAGACTACGACACAGAAATGCGGCTCGAGTTCTCTTGTCAAGCCTGGATCAACTTCGGGGACTGGACCCACGAAGAGCTACACGGCATTAAAAGCAAACACTTCTTCAGTGCGCTCAGCCGGATTGGAGAAGACACAGATATCTCAAAACCGTCTACAAGCTACTCCAAACAAAAGAAAAAACCGTCTTCTTCCTCCTTTTCAAAGCCCAAAGTCAAACCCGCACCTAAGGCCCCTCGTTCGAGAATCAATTTTGGATACGAAGTCAAAGATGCTAGACTTTGGAATCTTAGCGACCAGCCTTGTAACAACTGGAATGCTAATATATGCCAAAAGTTGGACGATGACTGCGACAGAAGACATCACTTATGCAACAAAGTGGGATGTGACCTCAATCATCGAGGAATCAAGGCCCACGCATAGGGCGAATGGCAGAAAATTCTTGAGAGGTCTGGAATTGGAAGAAGAGGCATCACACTACTCTGCCTCGGTAGAGTTTTCTATCACCGCAGATCCTCTTCCGGCCGCGCCCCCGCTCTCATCAGACCCGTTGGCAGCATTCGCGATCAAGAAGAACCCCCACCTCTTTAAGATCATATGCCCCATCAAAACCTCTCGCCTTCGACTCATGACGAAATCACATCCAAATCAACCATTCATCCATTACTGGGATCTAGAAAACGCAGACACCATCTTCTTCTGCGACGCATGCCCTACAGGCATTGGGATCTGGAACCCACGAACCTACAAAACGTGGAACCTGACGCTACCTCCCCCGTCGAGAGACATCTACTGGGCCGAGTTATTGGCAGTAGTTTTGGCTATCGACCTGTCGCAAAGGCATGACACGAAGAAAGTCCTGATTTTCACCGACAACAAGTCGGTTTGCTATCTCTTCAGTTCACACAGCCCAACAGACTCAGTTCGAGTGCTATTCAGGCATGCAGTCACCATCATGCTGCAGCATTCCGTCGACGTCACATTCAGGCACGTGGCAGGAGAAAGGAACGCGATAGCAGATGCACTATCTAGAAAAAAGCTAATTCCCACTTCCGAAGCTCCTCCATCCCGTTCTCACATCACCCTCCCGGCCATCCCAACAAACCTCGACGGCGGGATTTGTCAACAAAAATAACAATTACTGCTTCCTCTTCTCATTTTTTCTCTATTATCACACTGCTCTCCACCGTTCCTCCGTGCACACCGTAACAGCATGGCTGTGAAAAAGAACCCACCAAAAAAGAAAACCGTCATGCCCTTCGACAAAAGGGAAAAACTCAATGCCTCAGACAGATTCCACCACCTCGAACCCGCCTCAAAAGCCAAGTACGACTGCGGTGCTCGTCGATTCATCTCATTCTGCGAAGATCATCACATATCGGTCGAACCGTCCGAAATCAACCTTTGCCATTTCATTTCAGTCATCGGCCGCGAAGTAAAACCAACTCCATTTCCAGTTGTGGTTCTGATCAGAATCATTTTATGATTTGACGTAGACTGTCATCTATGTGAACGCCCTCAGGCGGTTTTGTGTTACACACACCCTCCTCTATCCTTGCCATTCTGGTGAGGGTAGAGGTGTTTGGGAAAAGCCGCAGGCTGCTCCTCGGTTGGTTTTGTAAACCAACTAGGCTGGCATGGCCTGCCTTCAGCTTCTAACCCTCCCGCCCTCCAATGGGTTTGGGGAAGGGGTTGTCTGACGTCCCCACTCCAAGGATGTCGTGGCGTCACGTGCCGTCCTTGGCCTGGAGGACAACCCCCTCTACGGTGCGTGTGGTAATCTCCGTTGAAACCAAGTTAACTAGAAGTCCCCACTTGGGATGATCTACACAGTTCGGGGTCTTCCCCCTCTTTCTAGCTAATATCCCACTACTAGGGCTTGCATATAGTTTCATTGCTCTGCACAAAGTTCCAAAACTAATTCAGCTATTTCTTGAGTCTATTGCATCTAGAAATAACTTCGTATTCTCTAATTCTGCTGTTGTGAATATCTTAATGTATTGTTTGTAGGAGTCAGACTTCCATCTACCAGCACTCATCAACTTGCTCTCTTTTGTCCCCAGATTAGCCCGGAGAGAAGTTCCTCCTACTCGAAAGGAGTGGCCGGACCAGGTCCCTACTCCTGTCGCTCCCCACACTCCTTCTAATACCGTCATAAACTTTCTCTTCGTCAGCAGCCCCCCTTGAAATGCGAATAAGGGGTCATCCCGGTCTTTCTTCGGGTTGTTGTCCATCAACCTTCTGACGGCTGCGACTGGATCGAGTACCGAAGGCTGGGCTTGTAGGTGAATTTGTTGAATTTCGTTTGGTTTTGCTGTCTTTCCTTTCCTTAAATGAAATCGTACCCATTCTCCTCTTCTTGACCTTCCGAATTCAACGTGTTGTCTTAAGATCATTCCGTCTTCTTTTGATTTCCAAAATACCTCTCCTAGTCGCATAAGTCCCCAAAAACTAACGAGCGCCACATTTGCGACGTAGTCATGGACTTCTGACTTCCCTTCACAGTGATCGAGCAGTTGAAACAATTGTTGAACAGTTACCGGCTTCTTGCTGTTAGTGAGTAAGTCTCCTTCCTCTTTGTTTCTCGTTGCTCGTAGTAATAAGTTTACTATTGATTCGTCTAACTTAATCTTCCTTACATGTCTTACTAGGTGCCACGCCTGGATCCCGTCAATGTACTTTCTTATTGTCTTTGAAGCTATACGACGTTTAGGGGGTGCCCCAACTTCTACACCGGATCTTCCTGCCCAAGCAACAAAACCGTACACGTCGTCACTTCAAATCCGTATCCGGTCATCGAAAGATCTCCCTGTTGAGGTGATGTATTCGATGAACTTCGACAAACCTGACGAGTAGCCTTTTAGAGTTGACTTAGCCCAACCACTACGCGCCATATGGGCCCCCGGTCTTGAAGCGATCAACAGTGCTGAACCGAAATGACCAGGTGGTCCATCCGATTTCTTGGGTTTGGTGATTTTGGGTTGTCTGGATGGTACGTATGGGGGCATAATCTAGAGTGATGGTTGGGCTGACGTTTGTTGAAACCTTTGGTGTTGCAGGTTTCACTCTCCAATAGTTTGTTCCTTGGGAGTTCCTTCATCTCATATGTCACGTCACTAGGTTTCACTTAACCGACTACGTTTAAGTCGCACAGTTCTCCCGCGAGGTGCTGTTCAACAAAACTTGGCGATCAATCAAATTCAACTCGACTCTCTCATGTCGATCTTACCTTTGTCTTCGCGCATCAAGCTCACCCAGCACACCCTTCTTACTACTGGTGTTTGCAACGAGTCTCTAAGGCAAAAAGTCTCACTTCGGCAAGCTTCCGACGAACCTCACCTCTCGTGGTGGCTTCTTTGTGTCTCAGGTGAGCTTTCTTCCATTGCTTGTCATGTTTGAATCAGAAACTTAGCTAAATCTTGTGGAACTTCTACTCTAATCCTATTCCACCACTTCTTCGACGAATCTAGGCCTCTCAACAAGGCATCTGCCGCGTTATCCGCAGAACGTACCCTCTTAGCCTTAATCGCACTGTTACATTCTAGCAAGTCCTTCTGGATTATCTTCCATTCACAATTCACCCACGGGTCCCGGGACTTCCCATTGTTTATTGCCCCTTCAGATACCATATTATCAGTCAGAGCTAGGTAAGTGTGGCCGTCCACTTCTTCTAAAGACCTCAGCATCATCCATCCTAATCTAATCGCCACTGTCTCTGCCCATGCAATTCCCCTCCTTGATCCATCTTCTTCTACACTGTCCCAACCGTCTTTCAGCTTGAAACGCGCCCACCTTTTCCCTATGATTATCCCGATGCCGTATGAAGTGGAAGCATCTCCAACCCAACCTACTGCTCTCACCTCTGGTCTCGGGATTGTTCTCAAAGGGCTGGCTATTGTGAGTGTCTCTACCCATATTTCTAAATCTTCTCTTACTTCTTCGGGGACGTCTCTTAAAGCATACTTGTGTTTCCATTGCTGTAACCACCGGTATATCGCTGTAGTATAAACTCTCATCTGCGGGAACACGTACGTGGCGTGGTTTAATCGTCCTACTAAAATTTCTGTGTCTTTGTACGACTGACGTGGTTTCTCTCGGTATTCGTTTATCTGTTGTATTCTGAGTTTTCTCTTCTCGTCAGGTAAGCTTACTGTCTTGTTTTCTCCATCCCAGTTAAAACCCAAGTACTTCTGGACGAAACTAAATTCTCGCCATTTCTTCTCGTTCGTAGCCACCCCCATCTTTTCGCTCAGCCTAACAATATCTATCATATTTCCAGCTTCTGTGTCTTCTACGGGTTTCACGAATAAAGTATCGTCAACCCACCGGAAACCTTCTAGTAACTTGAATTTCTCTCTCATAAGTTCTTTCCAGACTTCCGCTGCCCATCCAAACGTGCTGCATCCGGCTACACCTCCAAACTGCACTCGGGTATCTAAAAGTACGTTATCATCGAAATCCAATATCATTAAGTAACGCCATTGATCCTCGGCCACTGGGATTTGTCTGTAGGCCTTGGCCCAGTCGAAGATACCGAGTAGGAGTTTGCCTTTATAACGTATGAAAAAGTAAGCCACCTTCTTGAAGTCATCCCAGGATGTCTCGAATTCCTTCTTGTCGACATGTTTGTTTACTGACGGTACACTTCTTATGTGTCGGGGATAAGATAAGTCACTAATTGGGCGGAATGATCCGTCTCCATTTATTACCGCTCCTAGAGGATTGGTTCGGAAAAAACCTATTTTCCGGTATACCTCTTCTTTTGACCAGGGTCCAAACATCCGACCTTCTCTTAATTCTGTTTCGAAATTGTCTTCTATTTTCTTTTGTGCTTGTTTGGCTGAAGCGTGGTTCGGGGGGCAGTAATACGGCTTTGTCGGTAAGTCAGCGTCTTTCCCTTTTATTCCCTGTGAGAAACCTGTTTTGAACATGTTTAACGTGTGTTTGTGTTTCTTCAACAGTCCTACTCCTGCCAACTCTTTCCTCCAGACCTCTAAATTCATTTCGAAAGACGGGCCGCTTGGCCAGCTTCCGGTGTTTTGGCCTTTCTTGTTCAACTTTAACTCTTTCCAACTGCTTTGGCCTTTCCTGGAATCTTGTTCTGAGTTTAGGGGATGCTCAGTCTTACTTCGCCGATGGAATGGGTCTGTGGTACTGTTAGTTTGGGAGGGTTTTGGTGTGGTCTCTTCGTCGTTACCGGTCTTACTGGTAAGACAAGGGGCAAGTGGGCACGGGGGGTCACGGGTTTAGGGTATCAAGACTTTGATCAGTTACCAACAGGTAAATGCATTTCAGTATGTTTGATACAACTCCTCAAGCTACGGCTTACGCTTGTTTCCATTGACCTTCTCCATGCCTTTTCTCGAATATTTTCTCTGGACTTCTACTCCGATCTCGTCGTCTTTCATCTCCCCACTTCGGGCCTCTGCTTTTGTGTCCTCGCCCTTCTTTCGTTTCCCGATATTCTCTGTCTCTATACCATGACTGGCCACCTGTTCCTCTACCTCGTCTTCCGCTTCTATTACCCCTATACGTACTCCCACTCGCGTGACGATTCACTGTAGGTATAGAGCTTGAGCTTTGGTATGGGGGTTGCTGTGGGTGTGACGGTCCTGACTTTGATGTGTTGGTTTTCAGTTGATTCGTGTATGGACAGATGTTTGACTTTGGGCCTCCCGGTGTGCACGGGTTTGTTCGGTAAGATCTTTCATTGAAGCTTTCTGCTTTTGTTTTTGCTTGTGCTAATAAGTGGTCTTGAAACTCTGACCAATTTCCTAAAAAGCTATTGATCGTCTCTCTCATTACCCCCTGGCAAACTAAGCGGCAGTACCTTAACGCAACCATCCAACCAAAATCTTTCCGGATTTGTTTCACTATCACCATATGACCTTCGAAACGATCCGCCACTGGACCCCAATCTTGGTCTTGTAAGTGGGTACACATTAACTCCATGCAATCTGACCAAGACTCGAAATCCATCGTTAACTCTTCCTTTGGACCTTCCCCTCCATACAGACGCTTCTCTTTTTCAGCCTTGTCTTCGCTTTTAGGAGGTAGCATTGACCAAGCCATCTGGTCTTTCACCAAGAACTCCTCGTCGAAGACCGGGAGAGGGATGAAGGATTTCAAAGCTTT